AAGTTTAAGTTACACCTCAGTAAAGTGTGGTGGTAGTATATGTGTGTTACCTGCATATATCTGACCATTTCCTACCACCTCCCCCCCCCGCTACTTGGACTACTACAATAGCCTCCTAACTAGTATTCCTGCTTCCATTTTTACTCATGACAATTCATATTCCACAAAGCATCCAGAATAATCTTTCTAAAATGTAAATCATATTATATCACTTCCCTGCTCAAACTTCTCCAATTGCTTCCTATACACTTAAAATCCAAAAGCCCTTTGCGTGATCTCAAGGCCATACATTAACTTACCCCTACCTACTTCTCAGACTTCACCTCTTTATCATCTATCCCTTGTTCTAGACACAATGGCCTTCCAGATACTCCTAAAACAGACTCCTAAAAAAAGCTGTATCCAATTATTTTTTTAACGTACTTCAAAAGTAGATTCTTTACATGAAAGCTGATGTACCTCTCACTCCATTAAATGGCCAATAGAGAAATGCTTGCTTAAGCCATCCAAAGAAGTGGATCTGAATGAGTACTTATGAATATAATTTGGCCTTCATAAACTCAGGTTAATACTTAAAGTACATGCAACATTCTAATGTCCAATGGAAAACTAAATTGGGATCAACTACAGAGAGCCTAGAATATCATATTAAGGAGTTTATATTTTATCTAACAGGCAAGCATCACAAACTTAAGCACTAGAAAGAGCTGTGTGTGGTGTTTTTTTGTTTTTTTTTTTTACTTTTCAAATCCTGAGATCACAAGGTTTGCAAAGAGGTATGGAATAATAGAGAAAATGAGGAGTTACTTTCAGGGTTACACACACACACACACCCCTTTGGTACCTCTACAATATTGAGCCATGTGATTGTATTACCTATTTTTAAAATAAATTATAATTAAATATATATTTAAAAACAAAAAAAGGAATTCTTACATGACATGGAAAGATAAGAAACAAATATATTTATGCCTTTTTGGGAAAAGTTTATACTACTTTAAATACGTTTTAATGCCATAACTGAGAATTAGATAAAATATAAAAACCTAGATAAAATATGTTCATATAGGTAGATGATAAAGACACGTACACAAAGTATAATATATACTCATACATAATGGTTCATATATTAGGGAGCTCCTACCAGAACTGAATTCTACAACCTAAATTATAACCACAACTTGCCAACTTTGAAGTAGTTTCCTTAAATACCTGAAAGCTCATAAAGTGAAGACTTTTCTCAGAATCTAAAAGCCTGCAAATGATAAAAAAGAACTAGGTAAGAAAGAAACTAAGAAAAAAGATAGCACAGTCTCTTTCCCTCCAACTCAGCTCCAGTGGCCATCTCACTACTTGCCAACAGCTTTATCAATTAAGTGATTAATAATTAAATGACTTTGAGACAACAATAGGAGTAGGAGATACAAACCCCTACAAACTCCATATTTGCTAGAGCCTTAACATGGCAATCAAGGAGTGATGAGGAATAGGACCTCACAGTATAGTGTCCTTCTCTTAGATTAATAAGTCATTCAGGCTTTTGTTCCTCACCTAAGTTCTAGAACCACTACAACATGAAAGAATCAGGAAGTGGACTCTACTGAACTAAAGAAACTCACACGCATCAGCCAGAGCAAAGGTAAAATAGGTAAGACAGCAACAGAGAAAAGAACTTTGAGAAAGCATAAGCCCCAAATCCTCTAATCTATAGAATCCATCCTTTGATCAAAGGTAAAGTACTGTGAGTTTGCTCATGGCCTAGATCTAAAAAAATATCCTTAAACCCTTACCTTCATCCTGTTATCTGTCATATCCAGGCTCATACCCTATGGCCATGACAAAAGAACATGGGAAACATTCTCCTCTCCTTAATCACAGGAAGAACACATTCCCTCTTGAAAAACATACCCTGATTCCCATGACCCTCTTCCGTCAACACACTATGCCTTTCCTGAATCTCTTGAGTTTCATCTTCATTCCCTGAGTTTCAAATTCATGCAGAAGTCCGTATATTCTGAATATACTTTATCCTGGAGTCATGAATGGACACTTGGGAAAGCTGAAAACATTATTTTAAAATGCTGCTTCTTAAATTTTAATATGCAAACTGTGGATCTTACTAAAATGCAGATTCTGACTCAGTAGGACTGGGGCAGGGTCTGAGAGTCAGCAGTTCTAACAGGTGGTCCCAATGTTGCAAATGCTCCTGCTTCTCAGAAAACACTTTAAATAGCACAGTTCTAAAAGCCAATGGAACCTGTATATACAGGTTACCTCCAAAGACACAATCCCAATGGAATGCTATCTGTTCTCTTTTTACAGTTTATTTCTTCTTCTCTATACCAGATCTATTTTCTTATCCTCTCAACATTTGCAATTTATCTTCCATGTTATTACTATAAAATTGAAAATTCCAGAACATCCAAATGCTTCTAGTGTTAAAGCCATATCCTATCATAAAGACCTAATTTAATAGGTGTACCGTAATGGCCATCCCTAAAAATGATCAAGCCATCTATTCAACTGTAATCGAGTTAAATTTTCATTCTTGCTTTCACATTGAGACATATTAATAACAACTTACATACTTCTCAAGGAAAAAAAAAATTCAGCCATACTGCAAACTATGGGGAAGAAACTGATTTTGTCACTAAAGAATCACCTGAAAAAAAAAAAAAAAAAAAAGAATCACCTGATATGTTCTATTGCCCTTAAAAAAAGGAGACTCGGGGCGCCTGGGTGGCTCAGTCGTTAAGCGTCTGCCTTCGGCTCAGGTCATGATCCCAGGGTCCTGGGATCGAGCCCCGCATCGGGCTCCCTGCTCAGCAGGAAACCTGCTTCTCCCTCTCCCACTCCCCCTGCTTGTGTTCCCTCTCTAAAAAAAAAAAAAAAAAAAAAAAAAGGAGACTCAAATTTAACCATCTTAAAAGTTGATATTCCCAGTATACTGCCCAGTTAAAAAAATACTTGTAATGAGGATCTTCCTCATTTCCTAGTTTAGGTTAGTTAAGTACCCAGTCTTCCAAACCAGAAACTTGGGGGCCAATCTAGGCCTTTCTCTCTCTCATCCCCATCTTTTCCAGACCCCTGACTGAAATGACCACCAAGCCCTATCCATTTTGTGTCCTAAGTGTTCCTCTCAATTACCTGTGCTCTGCTTTAGTCTAAGCCTTTTCCCTCACCTTACCTACTGCAACAGTAGGCAGACATTGCTGCCTCCAATCACCCTTTCCATTATGATCCTTACTCCACATTATCATCCAAGTGATTTTTCCAAAATGCAAACCTAACGTATCTTCTACTCAAAGCCCTTCACTATCACAGAATAAAGTCCAAGCCACATATAATAGTCTAAGCACATAACTTTCCATGATTGGAATCCTGCCTACCTCTCTAACATCATATCCCACTGCACTTCTCCCATCCTGCACTTTAAGCCCCATTATTAACAAACTACACTGCTTGAATTTCCAGCACATCCCATGTTATTTAATTCCTCCATACTTTTTGCATAGGCTGTTGCTTTAGTCGAGAATATCCTTCATTTCTTCCCCCTTGGCTTTCTGGCCAACTACTGTGAATCTTTCAAAACCCAACTCAGAACCCAAGAAGCCATCCCAAGACCCTCTACCCTTAAAGAGTTATTTCCCCACTGCCAACTTTGTAAGTAATAAGGCATTTACTGGGCATTTACTGTGCCTGACACTGTTCCAAGCATTTTACATGTATTAACTCATTTAATCTTCACAGTAACTCTTCCTATGAAATGGTACCATTATTTCTTTTGCAGATATGGAAACTAAATCACAGAAAACTAAATAACCTGTCCCCAAGGATAACCAACTGTTAAGTGATGGAGACATTAAAATCCCTACATCATACATATTTGTATTCTTGTACCTATCACAGTGAATTGATTTACATGACTGTTATTATCCTGGACTGTGAGCTCCTTGAGGGCGGGGATTATGTCATATTCAATTCTAAAGCCACAGTACCTAGTGTAAAGTAGGTAATCAGTGCATGCATTTCTTGAATTGCACATAACATTCCTAACAAGTCCAAGAGAAAAGCATTCATAAACTAGTTTCCCAATATTCAAATATGCTTTAAGAGTTCTAGAATAGAGCAATTTATTTTTTCATCTAATAAAAAGGATGTTAAAAAGAGAGGTACAGACATGAGATTACAGTCCTTGTGGACAATGAAATGGACTTATTTTTGCAGTAATACTACTTAAACACTGTAATAAATCAAAACTCAAAGGACCATTTGCTTAACATTAACTCTTTTTCTCTTACTAAATAAGAATTCTTGCTTACCATTCAAGACAGTGAAAAGAAAGCCCTAAATTTACTTTGCTCAAGTAGAAAGAAGCAAATCATAGGCCAGAACTACTAATTGCTTCCTTAAGTCTGGCCAAGAAATGTATCCCATTAGGCAATTAAGATAAAATACAGTTGCCTGACTAAGCATATAACAAAAGAATTTCTAAGGTTGTATTATGGACTGGCATTCCATTATTAAAATAATGAAAAATTACTTATTTTAAGCCAAGAAAAATGAAAAATCAAGAACAAAATAAAATAGATTATCACCACCCCACAAGAATATAGATTTCTATAACTCTATTAAAACGCATACGTTACAATACATATGCATATGTTTACAATATTCAATAGCATTCTCTGTATCTCCTTCAAATTATAAAAAAATCAAAGTTATGCTAACACTAATGATGAAAGACCTCAAGACCAAATCTTCTGTACTTAGCAAGCTCTCACAGCTACAGTCCTATGAGCCATACTGAAGTGCAGTAATTAAAACCCACAGGGATGGTACCAGCAGCAACAGTGCATACCACAGGACTTGTTGGAGTAATCTGTTCCCTGCCCAGCCTGTACACACTCGTGCACTACAGAAAGGTGAGTCGGCTGTCAGCTGACTTTAGGCCACAGTGAGTTTAGGCCACAAAAAATCTACCCCCAGACATGTCTTACCATTTCTTGGTACACTCAACCATCAACTCCTGGTAGGAGGCCACAAACTGGAACTTGGATGCATGTTTTCCCACACGCTGCAGTCTCTTCCAAACTGAAGCCATGATGATCAGTCACTGGAGCAGTTCTGGGTTAGCAATACAGCAGCTTTAACAAAGCAGAGGGCCCAAAGCAAAGAAGCTTTGCATGTATGTCTGTACTTTAAAAAACTCAACTACAACTTGAAATGATGTTTGGGGTCCATAAGTCTTCTCCCTGTTTCACAGGGTAAATCCCATCTTAGATGAATGGCCCAGTCAAGAACAGTATGATACACATGACAGGATGAATGAGAGGAGGTTCCCTCATGGAGACATCACCATTCCACCTCAGGAGCTATATGATGTATAATCTGGAGGACTGAAAAGCAAAACAAAGAGAGAAAAATATGAGAGAAACATGAGGAGTGACTAACCACCCATGTTAGATAACACTGCAACAGACAACCTCAGTTCCCTGCATGTTTTTCAAACAATGAAACAAAACACCAACCTCAAAAGCCAGTAACATCAAGGATGCAAGACATCAAGGAAGAAATTACAATTCACACCGAAGACGTGGAGCAACACTCCAGGTAATCACCATCAACAACAATCGAGAAACGCAAGTAGGGGCCCTACCTCCCCCTCCTAGCATCACAGAAGGGCGAGCAGAGCGGGAAAGTCTAGGGATGCTGTTTAATGTCCACTGCCAGTCAGAGGGAGGAGTGGAACATTTTAAAATAAACTTTGTTTCTCGGCTGATAATTAATAGCCTCCAGTCCTAGAATATGTGCTTGGAACAAATTAAGAAGCGAGGAGGAATGCTGTTGTTCAGTCGGAGGGGGAAATGGATGGGGAAAGAGGAGTGGAGGGAAATCTCAAGGCAGAGGGAGGGCAATGTCCTGGCTCCAGGCCACTCGGGCTCTCCACCTTCGCTGCCAACCGGAGGGAAATGGAAACTCCTGCCTGGGCGTTAAGCAATGACCAGCGGGGCAAGTGCACGGTGCGGGGTGCGGTGCCTCCCTCCCCCTTCCGAAGGGAACAGTCCGCGGGAGCCTCCTTTCCTCACGCACAGAGCCCAGACCCCTGCCCCACAGCGGTGGCAGGCGGTGGCTCGCCCGCGGTCCCTGTCACCCAAGCGATGCCAGAAGACCCCAGCCCGGTCCCCGAGCCCCGGCCCCGCCGCACCTCCACTCCTGGCCCCTCCTCACACCTCTAATCCCGCTGTCGGGCTGAGTCTGGCCCAGTTCCCTCCTCAGCGCCGCTCCTCCGTCGCCGCCGCAGCAGCAGCCGCCGCCGCCGCCACCGAGTCCTCCATCCCCGCCGGAGCCACATGGAACAGCCGAGCCAGCCGCGGCGCTCGCGGGAGCCGGGGTCTGCAGCCCCTCAGGCGGACGGCGCGCCTCACGCCCGCCCCCTCCCGGACGGAGTCGCCCCGCGACCGTCCCCCACCCTACAAAACCCTGCCAGAGCCGCCGCTCAGAGCCCAGCACCCCCTCCCCCGCCTTCCTCCTCCGCCACCATCATCATTACCTCCCCCGCCGCACCTCTCACACTAACCCTACCCACGGCGGCTCAACCTCCGTCCGCCCCGCCGCCATTGGCCCGGCACCGCGCGTGCCCCGCCCATCTCGGCGGCCGGGCCTCTCAGTGGTGGGGGCACCTCATTGGCCGATCTGGGTGCCCATAACAGGGGCTCCACCCCCTAGCTCAGGAGGTGTTTTTCCCCCAGCCGGAACGCAGCGCACAGTCTACCCTTCTTAAAAAAAAAAAAAAAATTGGAACCCACCAGGGACGATGCCGCCCACTCTTCTGATTGGCTTGGAGAGGGAAACGATAGGCGGGAGGAGTAAGGAGTGTTTATAGTGAACTGGAAGATGGTTGCTTAAGGTGGATGTCCGTCGAAGGCGCGCTGGGTGCCGGGCGGGGTTTCTGGCTGGAGTCTGAAAGTAGAGCCGGGGTTGGCTTCGCAGCGGCTGTGGGCTGCGTGGCTCCTGTAGTTTTCTCTCCCGTACTCACCTATTCCCACCCTAGGAGCAGGGTGCGCCTACTCCTCCGCCACTAGCAACCAGGGTGTTGCGCACAGAGCCTTGGTTTCACCCGATTTCTCCTGGGGCTTTTTTAAGTAATGACCCTGCCAACCCACACCTAACATTCAGTCTACTGGTTCTCAACGGGATACAGTAGGCTGAGCTAGAAGCAAAATCGTTTACGGTGCAATTTCTTCTTGTTCTGATTCTTCAACATTTTTTTGAATCTTGGTGTATTTTTCTTGCTATGTTCTTTTTCCCCTGTAAATGATTCGGGAGTGGCCAGCATATAAAAAGCGTGGTTCTAGGCAAAGAAGAGCATGAAATAACCTAAGGAGAGTGTGAGGGCAGGGACACCTAACCTTGTTAAAAGAGCCAAGGATCCTTTTGAGAATATGATGAAAGTTATATACACTAACCCAAGGAGGGAAATTTATCCTATCATAAAACACAAAAATTTGCTTTCAATTTTAGGTGGTCACAGACCTCTTGGTGTAAGGAGGGCAAAGAATTATATGGGGGGTGGGGGGTCCCAACATTTAAGGAATAAGCAGAGTAAAGTGGAAAAGAGACTGAGGAGGAATGGTCAGAGAAGTAAGAGCACCCTATAAGCAATCAGCATATAGTTTGAAAAAAGAGAGGGTAGCTAACATGAAAAGAAAACAAGCAAGTAGGGTCTCAGAAACAATTAAGGGCCATTGTTAATCTTACTGAGGATGGAGAGCAGAGTGGATGGACAAAGTAGCTTGAAAGTTATTAGGGTCTATCTAGGGAAGTATTCTTTGAAGGACAGGAGAGGAGGGCAGTGGTGAGTGAGAGGTGATCCCATCTATAGACACAAGAGCAAGAGAAAGAAGAGAGAGAGTGACTGAAGAATCAGGAGAGATGGGGAAACAGAAAGCTGGAATATAGTATCTAATTCTATTTCCATTTTCAATAAAGTGATCTAATAATACCACAAGAACACAATGTGCATTTTACAGAAAAGGACATAGATATCACTTATTTTGCTACAGTTTTAATTTTAAAATATTAAGATAACCATAATATTTATATTGATTCTCATTTTCTGTACATCTTAGAGTTCTCAAATGTCCTTCCTGAGTGGTTTACTAAGTCACTACAACCTACAGCCATTATGATCTCATATAGTGATATATTCTGCATCATTAACAGACTTTAAGTGTATGGGGTTTTTTTAAATGACTAATTTATAGAAATGGTCATAAACTATTTTAATCTAAGTTGCCCTTCAGGAACAACCCACATGATGATCAGGAGAGTTTTGTATCCTATTTATTATTGTTCTTCAGAACTTTTCAAACTTATGTGGTCAACCTAGTTTCATTTAATACTCTTTCTCATCCCAAAAAGAGAGAGAGAGAGGGAGAGAGACTTTATTGTAAAGAAATTATCTTAAAAGCAATTAGTTTGGGGGCACCTGGGTGGCTCAGTCAGTTAAGTGTCCAACTTTTGGTTTCAGCTCAGGTCATGATCTCAGGGTGGTGAAATCCAGCCCCACATCTGCCTCAGTGCTCAGCAGGGAGTCTGACTGAGATTCTCTCTCTCCCTCTCCCTCTAGTCCTCCCCCAACAACTGCCCCCCCCCCACACACATCTCTCTAAAATAAATCTTTTTTTAAAAAACAATTAGTTTTCGGGGTGCCTGGGTAGCTCAGATGGTTAAGCGTCGGCCTTCGGCTCAGGTCATGATCCCAGGGTCCTGGGATCGAGCCCCACATTGGGCTCCCTGCTCAGCAGGGAGCCTGCTTCTCCCCCTCCCTCTGTTTCTCCCCCTGCTCATGTTCTCTCTCTCTCTGTATCTCTGTGTCTCGAATAAATAAATAAATCTTAAAAAAAAAATCAGTTTTAAATACAAGTCTTTCTTTTGAGGAAGAAGAAGGAGGAAAAGTGTATAGAACGCCTAGAGAATTTTCTCAAGAGACTGACAGAGTTTCTTATAAGACATTGCTTTTCTTTTTAGGGGAAGTATTTTTCTTGGATGTAAACTCTTTCATTCTAGCTGCATAGGTAGCTAAGAAGAGGCCAAGGTTCAAAATGAAGTAATGAATGGGCCACCTGGGTGGCTCAGTCGGGTAAACATCTGACTCCTGATTTCAGCTCAGGTCATGATCTCAGGATCCTGGGATCAAGCCCCATGTCAGGCTCCCCCACTCAGTGGCAAGTCAGCTTGTCTCCCTCTCCCTCTGCTCACTCTCTTTCAAGTAAATAAATAGATCTTTCTAAAAAAGAAATGAAGTAATTAAGATCAGACCTTGACATTGTTCTTCTGCTGAGCTCAAGTTCATGGGCTGGCTCCTGGAGGCTCCATCAAACAGCTACTTCTTCTCTCATAACTTTTTTTTTTTTTAATCTGCTAACTAAATTTATGAAGACTCTTCCATACAGAATATCTTAAGATTTTTTTCATCTGCTTAGCTGAAAATTATTGAAAACAACTATTGATAATATAAATACTATTAATAGTACATAAAAGATACAATCCCTATTCTCAGAAGAGTTTTCAGAAATAGATGTTCAGCATGCATGCAAGACAATAACACAAATTACTTAACCTCTATGAGTCTCAGCTTCTTATTCTGTCAAACAAATAACCATGCCTGCCTTTCTGGGAAGTTGAAAAAATGGAAGATATGTAGGTAAAGTACTTGATACATAGTAAACAGTCAATAAGTGGTAATTAATAATGTACACCATTGTGTTTGTTTCATAAATGGTCAAGAAAAAAACAACCAGACCTTCAAGAATACTCAGGCAATACTTTGTTGCTACTGAACATAGCTACCTCAGGACTAAAGAAACAGTGCATTTAACATTATTCCTCTCCCAATGACTTGGTGATTACCAAGAGTGGAAAACCAATAACTTATGTGGACTCAAGATTTTATAATAATTACTAAGAATTCACTTACCCTCAATCCTCATGACCGCCTTTCACACCATATATTAGCTGAGATCTTTGGGCATGCTGGAAGTTACCTTTTTCTTAAGGCCTCCCATTCTCTCTACCTACCAGTGTGTACATCCTTCTGACCCTCCCCCCACTTCCACAGGGGAACTGCACCTCAAACTCTTTTCTAAGTCCCTATTTACTCAGGTCTTATTTATCACTTCCTTCCATCCCAGGCTTAATCTGTGTGTAATAGACCTGTGGGTGTATGTTACTTTGATTGTCCTGTTCATTTGACCCAGGTGTTGAATGCAAAAATTTATAGGTGTTTTACTTAACAGAAGATTCAACATTTAAAATAATTTCAATTTTGCCTTTAAATATCATCAAGCTCATAGTGAAGATATAATATGAAGAAATAAGTGGAAAATGCCATCCC